AGGTCCTTCCCAAGGACCTGGGACAGGCAGATGTTGTTTAATGGTGTTAAAGGTATCAGCTTGATGGTGTTAAAGGTTATTATTACTATGGTTGGTCACACAGCCAGATGTTCAGGGTGGATTTGGCATTTTCATCCACCTATTGAGTCCCTCCCAAGAATCTGGAATAGGCAGATGTTGTTTCATGGTGTTAAAGGTATTGTCACAGGATATAAGCTGTTCCAAGTAAAACTGCCTTTTATTATTATTATATTTGTAGTATTATTAAAGTAACACTTTAATAAATTATTTTCATATAATAAATGTTTGGGGGTCGATGAACAATCTGAAACTTCATGAAGAGGTCAATAAGCTGAAGAGTTTGTGGACTCCTGCCTTAAAGGAACTAGAGAGTCTAGCTCAGGTCATACAGCTATCCCTAGTCTCAGATCCATGTTTCTGCATGGCCACATACAAGGAAACCTAGCTGTGTGGAACCCTGGAGATAGAGCTCTGTATGCAGAAGCTTCCTTACCTCAGAATTCCAGACTCAAACAGGACAGGTAGAAATGGGAGGAGCCAGGATGGGAGCCAAATATGGAGCCAGGAGCTTGGCCCCCCGCATCTCTCTTGATTATGTTAATGGGTGAAAAGGGTGTATTACAAAAATACACCAATACACGTGCATGGTAGAGAAAGGCAAAAGGAAATAAGTTTTTACAAATGGGGCCTGCATAATCTGAAATTACTTATGACTGCCTCTGTGTGCTCACTCACTACTTGCCTTAAAGCAGGGTTCTCCAAAGGGGTCAGTACTGACCCCAAGGATCAATGGGACTATCCAAGGAGTCAATGTTGTTATTAGTATATTATTATAGTTATGCACAAGCACAAGCCATGTTTCTTCATACATGGTTGTTTCTGAGATGTAGATACAAAACTATTTTGCTCATCACAGTAATTTTAATTTTCTGAAGATTTCAATATATACCAGGCAACTTTGTTGAATCCTAACATTTCAATATTTTAAAAAATATGTTGTACTATTTTTTTATCCAGAAGTTCCAAGAAATGAATTAAAATTATTTTCATGATTTTTAAATAGTATCAGGCTGCTTTATAACTGATTTTCAAATTGAAGATAAAATTCTGCCAGTGGACCATTAAGTTCAGAGTTCACATTCAGGACACAGATTAATTATTAGTAAGCTCCTTAGCATAATGAAGTAGTATTAATATAACTCAATATATATCTTACTTTAATGCTATTTTACAAAACTAAACTTTTGGTAAACCAATTAAAGAGGATTGAGGGGGAAGATTTCCCATAATAATACAGTTGGGTTTTCTTTGATGTTATACTGAAAGAGAAATGAACAAAGCAAAATTATATCCTATCACACTTGATAAATCAGATCTAGGTCCCTTTTCTCCTCCAGGAAGAAAAACATTTTTTTTATCATTAGTCTTCTTTCTCCATGTCTATCTCCGTTGTGCCAGTTGACAGCTCTCTAAGGCTAAGGTGAGAGTAAGTTGCATTAAACATAATGGCACTTACTAAAACATCCATAGGATCTTACAGCAGCATTTAGAATGAAGAGGGGGGCTACACAGAGCTATGTGAATTGAAGAGTATTCCCCCATTAGTGACATCTTTAAATTTTTCAGAGAAAAAGGAACAGTATTCACAGAGAGAAGCTTGATTGAGAAGATGTTTAATCTGAATTTCACAAAATCACTCCAGCTGATATCCATGATTTGTATCATCAGCATTCTCAGCAATGGTTGCAGATAGAAATGCACAGCAGTTACCTCTGCCCAAAGGGGGCAGGTGCCTCTCACCTGAAAGAGCCTGGACAATTTGCCCTAGCAAAATCACTTTGCCCCATGACACAAGTAGTCCAATCAGAAAAGGCTAGATCAGCCAGAAACCCTAAATGCTTCATTAATTCAGCAGAAAAAGAATACTTATAGAAAGAGCACTTTCTAGACTGATCTTTTTCACCCCCAGCTATAAGACGTCTTGTTTCTTCATTTAGTTCTTTCCTTTTAGCATTGACACATTCCTATTGATTTTCCATCTCAGCTGTAAATAATAGTTTTTGCATTGTTTTTCATTCTAAGATAAAATCATGTTTGTCAGGAATTCTGAAATTTGCTTTCTTGACCTCTGATAACAAAAAGCTGATTGTTTTGCAGAATACTAAAAAAAAAAAAAAAAAAGGCTTATCCAGGCATGAAAGACATATTTTTCTTCAACTGAAAATCAATGCTTTCACATTTAGAATATACACACACACACACACACACACACAGAGTGGTGCATATATATACAGTGGTTAAATAACTTGATTAACAACAAAAAGAGAGAAAGTAGCCATACCACCTCTTACAAGGACTCTTTACCTTGGCAATTTTAGCTTCATCTTTCTTCTTTGCAGTTTGAAGAGATTCATAATGATGCCTGGCACTGTCATAGTCTACAAGTTTCCTTCCCCGTTTAGCAATGCGAGACTGAAAGGAGATGTGGGAAGAACATCAGAGCCATGAACTAACAATTTTTACAGTCCAGTGTATATGCATTCTCCCAATTATGCTACCAACAAGCAACTGTCTTATAGTCAGGCTCCTTAAACCTATTTAAGATCAATGTAAATAATGGTTTCAACCTATTTCTCCCAATGTATATGTGACTGCTTTACTATATGCTGAACTTTCTGAGGCACAGCACCCCCACAACCCCCCACCCACCTCCAATTGGCAAATGCATCAATGGAAACACAAGGAGAGAGTTGGCATTTTTTTGTGTGTCCTTCTACCAGCTAGAATGGAGGGAATACTAGCTGGCTGAGTGGAAGGTTGGAACACAGCAATGAGTTATCTTATTTTTATCTTCATCTTCAGAGTAAGATACTTGTGAGAGAAGTTGAAGTGAGATGCAGTGACTTTGTACAACTTCATCTTACAGCTTTCCCATTCCCTCAAAATGACCCGCTCATCCTACTGCCTCAATATTTTATTCAAGTGTTTCTATCTCTCTTAGGGCACTTCAACTCAGTCACTACCAGCCTTGATCCTCAAACGCTCTGCAGCTGTTTTGGGCCATTACATGAGAGTCCTCACTGCTGCACCCCATCCTTCCACTGACCCAGCTAGCTTTGCCTCTAACTAGCCAATGAAAGGGCCCAAAGGTTCCCAGGAAGCCAGCTGGACTCTTCCCACCCACCACCCTTCTATCCTCATTGAATCTGCTTTTCACAGTGAGGAAAAAAAATCCCGAGCTGGTCCCTAGGGGTGGGGTGGGGCAGGCAGAGCACCAAAGCCCTGCTCTCAGAACAACTGGAGAGCAATGAATTTCTGATACGATTTCTAATTTTATATATCACTTTACTGAAAATTAGTGGTCATACAGATTTTTGCAGCCCAGATACAGCAGCTCAAAAAAAAATTAAATAGAGGTGAGCTCCAAATTGGAGAAGCGTTCTGCCTCACGTAATCTCACTGCTATCACCTGTTGCCAGTTATAACAAAGAAGTTCTCCTAATCTAAACTATCATTGCTGAAGACTCACAGCAAGCTGCTAGCCAAGCCAGCAGCTACTGTATGTGGGTGACAGTTTCTTAAACCAAACAGCCCTAAAGTGGCTACCTGAAAAAAATATTCAAAAGCCTTCATAAAATGGATTAAGTGCAAGAAAAAGGAAACTTGGTTTTGCTATTCTTCTGGGGTACAGCAGAAAATTAAATGATTTCTCTAACACCAATTCAAGATGACCATTTCCATGTAGGAACTAAATTACAAGTACTGCCATACGGCAAATACATTTCCTTGTCATGTTTGAGAGAAGAAAGCCTACAAGGTAAGTTCACAGAAAAGAGTCTCAGGATTGAACTGCATTCTCCCTATTAGCTATAAGTCTCCATGTATAGATGCAGTGAAGGATTGAAAAGAACATGAATGGATTCCTTGCACTTATGCTTTCTTGAGGAATAAGGGAGGGGAAAAAGAAATAAAGAACAGCTTTCTATCCTAAAAAAAAAAACCTCATTCAGGTACACAGAGAATAATTCACCTACAAACCCATTTTGTATTATTTTCTTTGCTCTAAATTTGAAAGTATTTTCCCTTTATTTAATTAATTAAACAGAAGAGAAAACAATAGAAAAAGAAGAAAAAAAGGAAAAAGGAAGCAAAACAGCAATAACAAATATGAGAAGCCTAGAGAGAGAGAGAGTTTTAAAATCCCCTTCTATGCCATTCCTTTAAAAAAAAAAAACACTGAAAGAAATAGAATTGCTGAAATTGTTACGATGCACACATAACATATTCTACATTTGCATCTTCATTTCTTTTGTTACAGAATGAACTTTTTTGCAGACTGAATATTGTGTCCTGCCCTTAGGGTGATGGTAGTAAAAGAGCACTTAAAGAAGGACCTCATTGTCACTGATGCCTTTTTGCTTTGAGAGCTCTGACAGATGAAACAGGAAAAAAAGACTCAACAGCTCATATTGAAATCATGCTAATTTTTCATTAGCTTAAGGCCATGAGACAATAAAAACTAGTTCCTGTTTTTCACAACAAAAACCAAACTTCAGTTTCAAAAAATGTGAAAAAAATAATTAAATTTAAAAAGTTTAAAAAATAATGAAAGCAAGGAACTATAGGAAAGAAAATACTGTATTTGTGTGTGTTAAGAGAATGAATAGTGTACAGCCAAACAGTACTTACTATCCACTCAAAATCTGGGCAAAGAAGGGTTTTTTTTCATTATAACAATGTTTTCTGATGTGACACATATTTTATGGTTTTAGTAAGTTTTATATTTCAAATTAAATAAATCAAGCCACTTCCATTACTCTATTTCACCTAAAACTCAAGTCATTGTTTTTGATAGTCTATAAGTTTTACCATCTATTAGATCTACTGTCAATTGACTGACTGATTATGCGCCATCAAGTCATTGTTGACTCTTAGCAACCACATAGATAAAGATAGAGATAGAGAGATATAGGGCTACTGGAGTCTCGATTTTTACATATTTCTATTTCAGCTTTATTAAGAGTTTGATTATTGTTAGCTTTCTATTTTATCATTTGACTACTTTATCTTGAATGCATTTGTGTTTACATTATAAACTCTTGGTAGTAAAATGGTGGAATATAAATTATATCATTATAAATCCCTCTATAAGTCACATCTAAGAGAATCATCCCTAATAATAATTTCTGTGAAATTCTACATATATCAGGCATGTTTTACTACAAAGAGGCTAAAGAACAAGATGGATGCGTGTGAGTACTGAATATCCGAGGAGGCTCCAACAGTTAGCTGGCCAGAGTCTGCTCTGTACTTCAGCCTCCACCTCAGGTACTATATAAATACTTAATTTTGGATTATATGTGTTGGTATGAATGTTAGTTTGAAAAGGCCTTTTAAAATGGAGGGAACAGGAAGGCATACCCAAATGCAACAATAATAATTATTATTATTTTACTTGCAAAAATAAAAAATAACAACCATCAAGCTCTTAAAGATACAGATGTAAGGAGGGAGTGTCTGTTATACTGGATGGTCCCCACAATTAATAATGTCTTTTTAAACACTCCTTTATTTGATTCATGGCTAATGTAGATTTCACCTTTCAAAAGGAATTCAAGATAGACCACCGTGAGACCCATACCTTTATGTCTGGGAACTGGCCAAGATAGGTGTCCATAGTGAGCAGTGCTTGATCTACCAGTTTCTGATGGAAGTCTGTCCAAAGCAGGTCATTGGTCTAGAACAGAACAACAGTAATGTGGAAAGAGTTGTTTCTAAGGGTTATTTTATGCACTATGCAGGTCAAATTCATCTACATTAGCAAATGTACAATAACAGTGACATGTACATGCCGTCCCTATCACTAATAAGTGAATCCATAAGACAAACCTTTGTCATGTTTGAAGCTTCCTTTTTTTAGCATACGTATGTGTAATAGCACTGGGATTTATTCCTACAATTGTCATGGTTTTTTTTTTTCTAGACAACTTTAAAAGCTACAATTAATTACAAGAGTTGGACAAGGATACTATTTTAATGCATCTTCTGTATAGCAAGGAAAGCTCTAACTGCTGAATTTCAACCTGCCATGCAGAAGTTCAAGGCACTGAAGATATACTTGGAATATTTGCTATATGACAAATATTTCTATGCCTTTTTTCTGTCCCTGATGTAGTTTGGATCTTATGAGATATATAGGTTCCATCAGTTCATTTCTGCTTTTCTCTAAGCAACTACAACATCAGAAAGTGCCCCATGATCACGTTAAGTTAGAAGATATTATTTGTAGATCAGTACAGATCTATGGGTCTGGTTTCATACTAGCCAGCTGTGAATGTAAGAGACTTGCTATTGTTATTTGCTTCTTGTTCTCATATGGAATTTTTGGTATCACACAAAGGGTATTTTGTATCATAGAACACACTGGCCCAATTTGTGCATAATATAAAACCATAGTTAAGCATCGTCAGAAATAATAAGCTCAAGATTTTAGTTTGAATACTCCCCCATTCCTGCTTTGCTGCTATAGGCACAAGGAAGAGATTGGAAACACCGTCTTCTAAAGCAAATGTTATTCTACACAACAAAGGCAAGCTGTAATTAATTTAAACCCTGGTTCATGAAAACAAAGCAAGTTTAAATCATGTCATGTGGTCATGGCATCTTTCAGTAAATTAATGTTTTCAAAACAAATTGATAAATAATCAAGAGGAAGTGATGGCTTCTATTCTTCTCCTTGTGACAGTATCAAAGGAGAATGGAGAGTGCAAGTCTGCGATATAAGCACATTCACTCGTGTAATACTAAACTATGGTTCCACAGGGTAACAAACCAAGTAACTATGTTACAAGCCACCCAAATCCATACAATACTTGCTGCCTCCACAGAACAGAAATCACAATATATTTATAATGCTAATATGTGATAAATCCAAACCTCACCTCTGCTATTTTGTTAGTATCATCCCTTCCTGGCCAATCCGGTTCATATACTTCCTGCAAACACTCTGTAAGTTTCCTGGAGGCTTCATGCATTGCTTTGAAATAGAAAAGAGCAACACAGTATTACCCAAATAATTATTCCCCCCACTGACAAAAAAAACCCCAAAAAAACACCTTGCTCACTTATCAAGTACACATCCCAAACCCTTGATAATATTTGTTTTCCAGACAAGAAAAAAAAAAGATGAACAAAAGGGAACCCTTGTGGTTTGATATTCTTTAATTTCTTATTTTAATAAGCAAGTGAAATCAAGTTGCTTTTTAAAATGGCTAATCTGTCATTTCCAAACATAATATAATTTATGAAGAATTTTCAAATATTTGGCTGAGATTAAAACAAAATTTTATTATTTCTTTCTGTCTGTTCCTCCACATTATAATGAAAGATTAAATTAGGAAATGCTGTATATTGATATAATTAGTCTGGGCCAAGTTGTGTGTGTGTGTGTGTGTGTGTGTGTTTTTAAGGTAGTAAGAACAAAATTAAAAGGAGGGGACAGGGTCCCATCAGAAAGAGGAGATTTGCATTACGATTGCTTATCAAATTCTCTCCTGCTTCTTGGAAACTGAAAATTATAAAATATGTAATTCACTTGTTATTAACCAGATGAAACTTCCCACTCCAAAATTCCAAGTCTTCAAGCCTAGTGGCCACTTTTCCTTCACTGCCATGGGACCCAGTAGAGTACCAGGAACCATGATGGCATCTCCCCCACCCTCAATGATCTTCTCACCATCCTAACTTATGCGACAAGACAGAGCTTCAAGCATTTATAAAATACTAGTGGAATCTGCCTGTAGCACATCCCCAAGAAATTGTAACTTTTCCATGTTATGCTACAAATAAATAGCATTTGCCCTATCCCAAATTTTTGTTGACCTCCACTGAATTTCAACAACTACTCAGCTCCATAATTATAGCTTTTTAAAGTTAATGCAGATACTACCACATAGCAGTAATAAACAAGACAAGGCAAGACAAGCCTTAATAGTGGCTGATGGAATTTACTTCACAGAAGATTCTAGAAAAGTAATTAGGATTTATTCTAAGTATTACCTTTAATTGAAGTCAGATATGTTCGGAGATCCTTCTGTAGCTTGGATCCTTCTGACTAAAAAAATAAAATAAAATCCCAGAACAGAATCAATGAATAAGCTTTACAATAACAGGTCACAATAGTTTGTTTTGATACCAAGTTTCAAATGTTGGTTTTCATCTTTAAAATCCTAAAAAGGGAGGCTAGAATATTTTTTCTTTCAAATGAACCTGTCTAGTCTCTAAGATTAGCTGTAGAGGCAACTCACCAGATTATCAGAGATTTGACTTTTTAGATGTGTCATCCTTTTTGTAGAACATTTACCTCTAGAAAGCCATATTAATTTCCTTCAGGCCCCCAATTAACTATTGCTTTTATTTTTCAAAACTTTTAATTTAATCTATCAAATGATCTCATTCAGTCCTCCATATAATTCCATATTATTTATATTTGCATATACTAACTACCTCAGATTTACAGTAAGTAGAGAGCATTAGAACTATTTTAAAAAACAGGGAATTAACAAATTGTCTTGTACAATTTGTTGTGCTAGAAAGATTTTATATAAAAACACAAGAGATCAGACATCTGCAAGTGGTATAGATAATAAGTTTGGGTCTGTATTAAGCTAATTAAATCTGAAGGCAAAATGAAACAGGTGGGGTATTCATGGAGGACATGAAAGGGAAGTGACAAAACATGCATTGTAACATCATGATGCAAACCTCATAACTTCTATATTTGCAACCAATGTGATGTCAGAATGCAAGTATGAAAGCATAGAGTTTGCCTTATGTTACCATGACTTTTCTTATTTATTTATTTATTTATTTATTTATTTATTTATTGGTCATTATTGTTAGTAGCAGACTTCTATGGAAATGAAGCAGGAAGTTTCAAATAAGAGGAACAGTCCTTCAAAGAGTCTGGACCTATGCTAATTAGGGCAGGAGTAAGAATTCATGGCCTTCAAGATGCTCCTGAACTACAACCTCCAGCACCTTTCACCACAGGCCATGTTGACTGGGCTGCTGGGAGAGAATTCAGCAACATATGCTGAGTTGAAGATTCTTATTTTTGATTTAAAGCTTTACCAATACCTTGAATTAAGCCCAGAAACACACAATAATGTTGTGCAATTTGAATAAAGCAGAAATAATCTATTCTAAAAAAAAGAAGGAACCCAGCTACAAATCTGAAAAGCTGAAAAATATTTTGAATTCTACTTCTCCCTTCATTTTATTATCCCCTGGCTTACTGATTTTGTCTGTTACTTGTGTACTTTTGTTTACATCTGTTCAATAGTGAATATTTTTAGCTGGTTTGGAGAGTTCAGCAGACAAGGAAAAAATTTTTAAAGTGAATAAATCAAACTTCCATTTCAGCAGAAAAACACAATCTCAACTAATCAGGTTGTGCAACTGGGACTTGCTAAGAAAGTTTAGGTCAATGATTCAACATTCTTGTGCAATCTAAGCCACAATAACTTTAATTTTGTCTTTTCAGTTCAACAACGCAGCATGCATGAACAAACGAATTTTCTGAAATATTCAAATTTTTAATATTTAAATTAAAATAATAAAAATATATTTAGAATATGAAATTTTGTCTCAGAAGTTGAATACTTCATATTGCAATTTTACAGTTGTCTACTGAGTGCTCCTAAATTCCAAGCAAGTACATTCAGGACTGAAGCAAGTACATTCAGGACTAGATTCACTGACATCTCTTCTTGTATTAGTTACAACTAGAATGTAAGTCATTTCTGGACTGATCGTCCCTTATAAAATTGTAATTATCAAAGTCCACCACCAATATCTCTAGCACAATTCCAATAATGCAAAACTTCTGCATATGGGATAATTTAGTCCTCAAAGCGTGTATCTTCAAAGAGAGTACAAAAGAAAAGAAATGATCACATGCAGGGTGTCTCTTCCCAGCTAACATCAACAAAAGCTGGATGGATGGTTCTATGGCCATAAGAACAGCTGTGACTTTTCAAAAGGAAGGACACCGGCAGCAGGAAAGAGAAGAATGTATCCAACAGCATCTGCTCATACAAAAGACTCCATTTCCCCTTTCCTTTCATCTTCAAAAGGGGGGAGTTTAAAGAGAGGAAACTTATACAACATCTGTTTCAGGAGGTACCAGACTCTGAATATATGTTTCCTGTCATGGTCCTCCTCAACTCTTACTCTAAAAGTGTCTGCTTCTTCATATCTATCTTGCGCTTTTTTTAAAAAATAGAAGTTATAATAGAGTTCCTCTTATCTAAGGGTTATGCTTTATGTTTCTGATAAGTAGCCCACCAATTCTGCTGATGATGTAGCAAAGCTTTCTTACCAGAAATGAAATTGGTTAAAGCAGTAATTGCTACCAACACTGCATTCTGTTTCATAAACTCCATGAATTCAAAGACAAATTGGGAAAGTAAAAAACAGTCAAAATCAATTCTTCGGTGATTGTAGAAGTCAAGATTGAAGCCCTACACTCATTTCAGAGTAAATTCAACTTACCTGAGGGATTTATTTCTGAGTTATATGCATAGTTTCAGCCTTTATGATACACTACTTGTAAGGGACCCAGAATTACAACTAAGTTCCTCATGTGCTTAATATCAACGTTATTGAGATTCGATTCTGCCCTTCAAAAAATATAAACTATTAACAAACTAATGGTATACTTTTCCACTGTAGTTTTCCATTTCTTGATGTGGCAACAGGAAAAATTAAAACATTTTTACACTGATATTGTTTCAGCATTCAAATGTACTACATAAAATGAGTGGGATAATCTTTTTTCATTCAATGTTAGCTTAGTTTTAGGAACTATCAGTTGCAAACTCTTTCTGAATATGAAGTCTCTAGAAGGACAATGTGCGGTATACTGGAGGTTGTACTGCTCTCTATGTCAATGAGGCTATAATCTCATCATTATCAACGGAAACTTGAACAGAAATAGATTCTTCCACAGAATCACCATAGATGACAACACAAGCACCCCAAAATAATTTATTAGGAATGCAACATTTCCAGAAATGTTGAAGCAATGGGGGAAATAATAATAGGCTTTCTTGCTATTTTGTGGGGGTGGAGAAATAAATATTTAGGAAAAAAATGAATAAACACAGTACTTAATTTTGAGGCCAATTAGAACATTAAAATAACTGAATTATGTATAATTTGCATTATGTATAGCTTGGTTTGCTTATAAAAGTATATCTGTTGTAAAAATTGAAACATGTAATTTATTTAGATAGCAATTGTACATTGATTGGCATTATTTTGAAATATTTTCAACCTTAAAGCTGTTGAACTCTAAAATGTGTCTCCTTCCTTCATGTTTGCCTGTTCTGAAGAAGCAGCCTAGCCAAAAGTTAATGATGGAAATCAGGGAGACCATCAACACTGTAACAATATGTCAATGGAAGTGCTGAAAAAGTGCCTGATTCTGGTAACGGACTGGTTGCGGACCAAGAAACAGAACTCAAGTGGGTGATCTATCTGAGTGATGTTCAATCTGTTTTGGAGTCATTGTTTTCCCCCTAAAAGCCCATAGATAGGGGGTAGTTCTAGATCTATCTTTGTCACTGTTTGCACAGGTATCCACTGTAACATGAAGCACTTTTACCAGCTAAGGCTACTGCATCAGCTACAATCCTACAATGAGATAAGAGATAGTCTTATGGATGAATAAAAGGGGTCATAGTAGAGATGCACAAAATTTTGCCTATCATAGAGAAAGTGACTAAAGAGATTTTTTTTCCTTCCCTCACAGTGCTAGAATCCAGGGTTACTTAATGAAGCTGCATGATGGGACATACAGAAAAATGAAAAGAAGCACTTTGTTAACACAGCATATAAATTATGGAATTCATTACCACAGGATGTTATCATGGGAATTAGATTAACAGAGGATAAAGGATGTGTCCATATGCACTACTAATAACGGGTAGAGATTAGTATCATCATTAAAATTAGTATACTTCTGAAATCCAAATGATAGGAAACGAGCAGGAGAGTCCTACTGCACTACCACTCTACATGTGCCTTTTCCCTAATCATCTGGTTGAGCATATGGGAAATAGGATGCTATAGTAAGCAAGTCTTTGATCTGATCTAACATGGATAATCTTATCCTGTTTAATCAGTAACAGTCGCAGTATTGCCTAAGTAATTTAGCACTAATATGAGTGTGGTGGATTTTTGGTGTGAGGCCCAAAGGTGATTTGGAAAAGTTTGAATAATCAATCATTCCACTTTGGCTCTGGCAAAGAAAATATACATGTTTCCACTTGGACAAATAATTGCTACCTGCAAAAGTATTCAAAATTAAACAAAGAATCTGATTCAGTTGTTATCAGCCATGTAATTGCTGATGCTTGCTTCCCACCATCTTAAGAAGCCATCCTAAACGTGAGAGGCATAACAGAACATACTGTGAAATGTTCATAATGGCCAAAAATGTATGGATTTTATTGTCCATACATACCTTTATAGG